GCCTTAAAACATTTGTTGATTAAGAGAAAAAATATATGTTTCGAGATTTCAAAAAAATCAAAAAGCTAAAAAGTAATCTGGTCCGAGCGATTTACGGGTATCAGGTTCGATCAGTTGGGTTCATTGATCCATTCATTAATGTTAGAATATTTTATATTAATTTGGAGATCATATAAATTAATATAAAAAGCTATTATAATATATTTATAATATTCTAAAAGATATTATAAGATATATATTTATAATATTTTAAAAGATATTATCAGATATATATTTATAATAATCTAAGAGATATTATAAGATATTTATAATATTTGGGAGATATTATAAGATTATAACAATATCTTTTATTCTAATAATTAAGGAGATATGTTTTGGGATTTGTTATAGATTTGTTGGATTTTGCCTATTATAAATATGTATCTCTTCTGTTATTATAATGTGACAATCTTAGAGCTTACATCAAAAAGGGAAAACAAGGGTTTAAAGGCGTAGCATAGGGTTTTGGCTATTCTCAAGGGAAAACTTAGAAAGGTAAGGATTTTGGAAACATTTGGAGTTATCTAAGGTTATTGGGAATTGAGAAACACTTGTTTACACCTTGGGTTTGAGTTATTAATATATTGAAGGTTGTAGAATTTGGAAACACTTGGGTATAAAATATGGTAATTCTTGGGCGCCTTTAGGATTGTTCTTGGGAACCTGAAGGCGAAGGTTATTTTCTTATAACTCATCTTTAATATCTTGTAACAACTTTCTGAGTATAGTGAATTGGAGAGCTTCTCTCTCCCCCAAAAGTATATCGTTTGATCGAACTGGGTAAACAAACCTTTGTCTTTTTCTTTCCTTATTCTGTTATATTATCTGAGTACGGATTATTATTGTTGTAGGCCATTTATTTTGGTCGCTACTATTCTTTGCCTCACGAATTGGTATTGAATTTTGTCTTAATTTACAACAAGATTCACAACAAAACTAAACTAAAAAAATCTTTGAACCATTAAGCTAGTTAATCCCCAAGTTGAAACTGAGAAGTGAAATCTTGGACCATAGGATAGAGAAACCAAACTAGAATTTAGGCTAATTATCTTTAAAGAAGACTTTTGGCTTGATAGATGACATCATGGGTTACACACTCACATACACACACACACACACACACATACATACACATACACATACGCACACACACACACACACACACACACACACACACACACACACACACACACACACACACACACACACACACACACATACACACACCACATGATCTGAAATGTGATAAATGACTAAGTTTAGATACACACATACATCAATGTTTAGATACAATCCTTTGAGAAAAATTCTGGTGGTAAGAAGTGTGTTGTTGATTTAAAGATTTTGTATGGTTATTATTCATTTCTGATGTTATCAGTCACATCACCTAAGGAAAGGTAATGATTCAAGTTTAAGGGCGTGATAACTCGTTTTATGTGAGATATTTTCTTATACTAGATTTTTAGGGTAGATTATAGCTTGATTAATATAATTTATTTACGATTTAGGTCACTTTATGTAATTTAGAATAGAGCATACTAGGCACTCTATTTTCTAAATTTATGTGTTTTGTGCTTATGTAGAAGTGGCTCTTGTAATAAGTTTTGTCACATCGGTAATCCTTGAACACCATCTAACAGGCTTTGAGCCAGAAGATGCTAGTATGATTTCTTAACTTTAGTGTTAATACTGACATGGTAGATATTTGAAAATAAAATTGAGTTGAGTTGGAGAAAATGAATGAATGAGGAAGAAAATCTACAAGACAAATCCTGAAGAGTTGTCAAGGCCTGTTAATGTTGTGTTGATGTTTCTCATGCACTGCTACTACTATTGTAACTCTTCCATATTGTCATGTTGTCTCTCATGTGTAATGTACTATCATAGTACAAGATAAAGAAATGTGTTTTATTTTTTAGGCTTAATTTAATGGATTATTGTAAAGGTCCATGATTCAATAAAGATACTTTATGGAGCTAAGAAAACTCTATAAATAGATCTGCAATATAATTAAGAATGATGTTCTAAATTTTGGAAATAATTCTACACAAAAGAAATTAAGGAGGAGCCAGAGTTCTTATCGCGAAAAAGGTATCGTGAGACTGAGGGAAATTAATTGGGAGGCATGACGGAAGACGCCGCTTGCTGATTAATAAATTGGAAGTGATTGAAGTATCATCCTTAGGTTTACTATCTCTATCTTACTGTTTATGAATTTATAACTTAAGACCTTTTTGTGTTGTTGATAAGTGCCAAAATATCGGTATTTTGTGTATGTAATTTGTGGCACTTATTAGTTCTTTTGTTAATATTCGTTGAATAAATCACAAATTTGTTTGTAAATATGTATATTTTGCGTATTATTACGTTTTTGAGTCATTTATGTAGCGTTTGATAGTTTTAATATCTTTTTGTAGGTATTGTCGCGTATTTGGAGCATTGAGGAATAAGGTGTTGAAAGCACAACTCTGGATAGGCATTTTTGGACGAAATCAGGAAATGATAAAGCTTCTGATCAGGCTAAGTGCAATTATAGCATGCTAGAGAGTGGTCTAGACAGAAGATTTCACACTAAGCGTGGTATTTGGCGCTTAGCATGCTCTAAGGCGGTTTGCTAAACAAATAAGGGTGCGCTTAGCGCGGTTTGCGATTTTTAGTTTGTGTATAAATAGTTTAAAACAATTTTTTTAGGTTTTTTATCATCTCTTCGCTCCATGAATGAGCTATGATTTGATTCTCTGTATTTTAGATGTTTATGCAACATCATTGGGTGCTACGTCTTGTCGTTTGACTATGGGTGGTCTCAGATCGCATTGACACTGCGAGAAGTTTTCGGTTCATCTCCTTCTTCCCTGTGTATCATTCTAATAGGGGGGTTTTGTATATATATTTTGCTCTTATTGTATGTACATTTGTTGATCATAGGGTTGTATAAAATTTACTTTACAAATCATTATCGATGTCATCCTTGATCTTTTTGCTTTATGTTTGGATTTGGGTTGCTATAGAAATATACCTCACAAATTTTGATTAGGGATGGATATCTATTAGTTTTTAGATTCTAGAGATAAATTTAGAGCTTATAATCACCGTGGGTATCAAAGCTTAATGCCTCCATACTATTTGTGTTGCGCGTGAAATCGCCAACGTGAGTAATACTGTAGTTATCTCAACTTTGTGTTAGGCATAACCTTTGTTGGGGTACATTTAGAGCGATGCCCGATTATTTTGACGCGTATTGCAGGTTGAGTGCAATTGGTCTGTAAGTTTAAGTATTTGAGGGGTAGAATAAAATGCAACTCCAAAATGAATTCTCTTGGGTTACAAATGATTGTTTATTTGCTTTATTTACTTTTTCGCATTTTACCTTCTGCAAATCCAGAACTAAACTTAGAGAGATTGATACTGTTGAATGGTATTTTTTTCCTCGCACTAATCCCTATGAAGACGATATGACAAAACTAAACAAATACTTACTTTTTGTTGTCACTTCAACGGTTGTGCTTATTTTACTCATTATGAGCTAAACTATCTTTGTTGAATAATGTGAAGTTTAATGAATTAATAATATTTTGAACATTATGAATAAATTGTCTTTATATATTTTATTCATGTGTATTTAAGTCATAGGTTTATTCCTTTGTATGGCCACCTTGGGAATATATCACATCTTGTTAATGGTGAGAGATCCTTCCACAAGTAAAACTCATGATAAATGTGGTTGGAAATAGTAGCATAGACATACTTACTAGATTAGTCACTTTAGATATAAAAGGACTACAATCGTATGGGAAATCATAAGTTATGATAGACGTGCATTAATGTTATTGTGAGACTTAGAAATTTCTTCTCATAACTTAAAATAAATCTATAAAAATTATTCATCTTTTATAAAATTCACAAATATTTATCTTTTAATTTTTTTATAAAAGCTATCAAAATTTTAAAATAACTTAAAGAACTATATTTTATTATTGAAAAAACGTCATTATTACGTTATAAAATTTCAAATATCATTTTATATTAATTTGTTCATTATCATACTTTAAACAACAAATTAAATAACATTCAAAATTTTATATTGTATATCTTATATTTTTATTAGTATACAATGCCACCATTAAATTATAAAAATGATAATATTATGAACCCTATTTTAATAAGTTTCGATTCTAAAGTAATAAAAAATATATAAAATAAATATTAATTAAATTTGGTCGAGTTCGGTTTCTAACGGATCCAAAATAATTATCCGAACCTGACCGAATCAACCCTATAATACCCAAATTAAGTAATCCGGTGAACCCGACACCCGATCTGATCCGATCCATTTACTCCAAAAAGATAATGGATCGATTGGTTTAGATCGGACAATTTAAATTTATCCACCCCTAACTAAGTGATTAGGAGATATGATATAATTGATAACTTTCACTAGCCTACATTCTAGAACCTTTGTAGTCTACATTCTAAAACCTTGGCATTAAGAGATTGATCGGAAGTCTTGTCCCCTTAGTGATACTTCCTCCAATTCTTTTTATAAGAAATATTTCATCTTTTTATATTTATTAAAAAATTAATGTATTTAGACTTTTATAGATCAAATATTTTAATTATTTAATAATTTAGAAAGTTTTAGTATCTTTTATAAAAAGATCGGAGAAAGTAAATTAAAAAGAGAGACCCTTAAAAGGTATAGCACAATCATTTATATTATATTGAAAAATACATCTTCGATCTTAGCACAATCATTTATATTATATTTTATGATAACAATAAAAATTACTTGTAAAATTTATTCTATTATTTCAAATATTGGAAAATCCATACATATTTGAAGATTACAATAAAAATCAAATATACAATCTAAAACATATATATACTATATACAATTTAAGAAGCATGATAATATCTAGATGTAGTTGTGTTGATGTGTGATTAGAACTCCATCAAAGTAATGTTCAAGGAAAAGGAAGATAATTATTAAAAGATCGAAGCACTGGAAACCAATTCCTCCTTCCATTTCTACCTCTCCTCCCAACCTCATTATTCTGAAATTCTCTATTTCCATTTTCCAAATTAGCCAAAACATTTGAATCCTCACAAGGCATTTGAAACCTACAAACTGGACAAGAACTATGTAGTTTAAGCCATGAAACAATACAATCACTATGAAACTTATGCTTGCATGGCATTTCTTTAGCAACACTTCCAATATCAACATCTTCTAAACATATAGTACATTGCAATTTCTCATCATTAATCATGTTTTCCATTGCTTCAATTGCTTCCTTCTTTGTTGGAGGATTCACACTTGCATAACCACTAGGTGTTATTTGTGCCAAATGTTGTAGCAATAAATCAAATCCACTTCCATCCACAAAATCATTCAAAGATCCAATAGTACTAGTATTAATATTATTTTCATTTGACCTATTTAAATTTGTGTGATTCAAATTAGGTCCTCTCACAATTAATGCACCTTCATTGAATGGATCAATAACTAGTATATTGTTATTATTATTACTATTATTATTGTTATTGTTATAAGTATTATTAGTATTATCAATAATGTTTCTATTTTGTTCTATGTTTTCATTTTCTGAAACCATTCTAACATGAAGTCCTCTAAAGAGATGCATCATGTAAGTTGAAGTTCTTCTCCTTCTTCCAATTACAAGTTCATTGTAATTTCCTCTCTCTTGTTCAAAATCTTCATCATTTCTTGATGTGATACTTTCTTGTGAAGAAATTGTAGCTAGAGAAGGACTAAAAGCATTCATCAAACCAAGAAAAATTGGTGCATAAAGTGAGAAAACCCAAGCTGACCTTAAATCAATAGCATCACTATTTTGGTGATCACTTAGATTTTCAATTCCATCACTAAATTGTGTATCACAAAAGGGACATTTGTTTTCATATCCATTCATTGGGTTCACCATTTTAGAGCATATGGTGCACCATTGCTCATTCTCCATTTTGCAAACTTTAATTTCCTATAATAAATTCTCCTTATAGAATATCAATATTAACCATTCAATTAAAGAGTGATCGTGTTTTGTTGAGAAGGATTTCAATTCCTTGGGAAGAATATTCCCATTGCTACCAATAGTCATGTAACATCTGAAATAGAAATGTTATGCAAAGAATAATTCATCAAATTTGTAGTTAAGATTGCATGTCATAAATTAGTAAAAGGGAAGAAAATTGAAAGAAAATATAACTAAAAAAGTTTGTTACCATTTTGAGTAGTGGAAGTAGATGAAGAAACAACATTCAAAATTCAATCATCTAATGAGCCCTCTTATACTTTTTGTAATTGTTCTTTTTTAGATTCGGTTTGTTTTAGTTAAAAGATTTTTTACCAATCATTTTGTAAAATCTCTATAATGATATTTTAATATTAGAATCAAGTTGGGTGATAAATTTGCAACTTGCACTTTTTTAGCTATAGATTAGACAGACTTATCTCAAAATCTAAAATTTGAGTTTTGCTAAAGTTGTAACGTTCTCATTTTTAGCTTGACTAACTATCTATTATTGCTCATTTTAACTTTATTTTTAACACTAATTGTGGAATAAATTTGGAGTTTTTTATAGTTAAGAATGAGAGATTTTAGAGAAAAAGTTCATCTACTTTTTGTACTCTAAATTAGGCATAATGTGTGATTGATTTTTAATTTTCTAAAACAATTAAATAGGCCTATTTTATGGATTTGAAAAAAATATTTTTTTTTGTTGTTTATACACATGAAAAATGTATTTTGTAATTGAACTCTAATTTAAACTTTTTGAAATAAAATTTATGAAGAAGTGGTGGTATAAGGATATTTCATTTCAATGTTACAAGTCTAATTTATGACAATAAAACGTCAATTTAAAAATTACTTGTTCAAAATTAAACCTAAGATCTATGCATGAATATAAAAAATCACATCCTAATTGTGTCAATGTTACTATTTTCTTGCTTATTGATAAGTGTCAAAATGTCGTTATTTTGTATATATGTTTTGTGTCATTTATCGGTTCTTTTGTTAATATTCTTTGAATAATTTTCTACTTTGTTTGTAAATATGTATACTTTGTGTATTATTGTTTTTTGATTAATTTGTGTACCGTTTGATAGTTTTCCCTTTATTTTGTAGGTATTGTTGCATGTTTGGAGTATTGGGGAATAAAGTGTCGAAGACGCAGCTCCAAATGCACATTTTATAGCATAAAATTCAGCGGAGCCCGCTTAGCGCGGTGAGTCTGCTAAGTGCATCCTCTGACCCGCTATGAAGTTTTGCACTATTTTGGCAGAGATGTGATTTTTGAGCCCGCTAAGCGCGATTAGCCCGCTTAGCGAGATTTAGGCGATTTAACGTGTAAATATCAATGCAGCCCACTTAGCGCGCGGAGGCCGCTTTGAAGAAGTGAAAAACACAAGAAGGGGGGGTTGAATTGTAAAACTGAAAAACACTTGCAATGAACACGGTATTTTTATCCTGGTTCGTTTGATCTCAAACTACTCCAGTCCACCCGTCAAGGTGATTTCGCCTCTCTCCAACGAGGTCTTAATCCACTATATTCAATTGAATATTACAATCTGCTTTAACAACTGCTAAAGCCTTCTTGATGCAAACCACAACCCGGTTTGTCAAGGAAACACTTTCTTACAAAGAAGATAAAACTAGGTGTGTGAATGTTTTCTACAAAACTGTATCACAACTGTGATGTTACACAACTTTAAGCTTATGAAACTAGATTGCTAAATAATGATTGAGTAAGGAGATATGTAGCGTTTAGCAAACTGAGAGAAGGAAGATTATGATTAGCTTTTAGGCGTGTAATATGTTGGAGAGCATTAGCCAATTCAATCTTCATAGTCTTGTTTATATAGCACTGAGATTGTTGAATGTTGGAGCATTAATCTTGATTCAATGCCAATAACAAACTTTCCTTATTGAGCAGATCTTGTCTGGAATGATGCCGTTAGTAATAATACGCTTTCAATGCACAGTACCGTTGCTACTTAAAGCATGTTCTGGCTTGGCTTCATTCTGACTCTGCTTAGCTGCTGATGAACTGTTGTTGTCTTTATAAGAGTGTTGAGCGCAATTCTATTCATCAAGCTTCAGCATACGCGTGGGTTAATCTTCTGATTCTGGTATTCTGATATAGCAACTTCTGATGCTGATGTTAAGAACCAATATTCTGATGCTGATTAGGTGTGCTCTTGCTTATACCTATCAGAGTTTCTGCAAATCAGAACGTAATATTTTAGGTAGCAAATAGTTCATACATGAATCACATAATTAATATATCCTTTCATTTTGTTATCATCAAAACTTAAACTTAGGGTAGTAGATTCAAACTTTGTTCTAACAATCTCCCCCTTTTTGATGATGACAAAAACTAGATATTTTTTAATTGAAAATAACGTGAAAAAGTATCAGAGATAACTAAATGATAAGCTGTATCAGAGTAAGAGGTTATCAAAGATAAGGGATAAAGAGATATCAGAGTTGAGAGATACTCCCCCTGAATTTATTGCTTCCCTTTTTAATTCCAAGAGTTCTTCAGGATCAGATCTTTATTGCCATTCTTTGAACATCAGAATCTCAGAGTTTTGACTATCAGAAGCTTTAGATCAGCATATCAGAGCATAGCTTCAGATCAGTGTATCAGAGCTTTTCTTATCAGAGCTTTGCTTTGGGTAAGAAGTATCAGAGCTTTAGTCTTCAGAGTATCATGGAGCATTCTTGTGCCTGTAGACTTAAGCAAAAAAAGAAGACATATTCAAGTATATTAGAGTTAGAATGTTTGAGATTTTCTGTCTTAGTAATCCGTTATTAGAAAAATATCATTCTTGTTCTCCCCCTTTTTGTCAGCAATCAAAAAGTGTAAATGATGTGCTAAAACATTTAGAGCAGAAAAACTTGTCATATTAAAAGGTTCAGAATAAAACAGTACAACAGATAATCAAAGAAAACATGAAAATGACATGAATGAAAAAACTAAGGTTGGGGAGGAAGACGTGTGAACAGGTTCTCCAGCATGGCTTTGATCTGATCAGAAGTCTCATTCTGCTTGTGCACCATGCTGACAACTGTGTCTATCTTGCTATCCTGCACATCCATCCTTTCTTTCATCTTCTGGTCATTTTCAACCATCCTTTGCTGCAGACGCATGTCATTCAGCTTCAGCTCTTCCAGAGTCTGCCTGTCCAAGGCAGCTTGAGAAACATCAGAAGCAGGGAGCTTCTGAGAGCTTTCTGCAACATCTTCTGCTTGACTTGCTTCAGCTTGAATGGTCTTGTCTTCTTCTAGTTGCACCTTTGAAGCTGGCTGTTTCTCAGACCATGGCTCACTATCCAGAGGGAGCACGTCTTCCTGTGGCAGCTGACTTTCAACTTCCTTCAGCAGCTTGCTGAAGTTCTGTTGTGCCTGCTCATAGTTGATATCCTGCAACTTGAGGGCTTCAGCACGTACCCAAATTCTGAATTGTGACCAGAGCTGGTCAGAGGCAGCTGGGTCAATTATTCCAGGACAGACTTGCTTCAGAGAAGCAATCCACTGCTGCAAACCTGTTTCAAAATTCATAATACCAGAGCCAACATCTGGTTGTTTTGGTTTTGGAATGGCTATTTTATTTTTCAGATCAGCAAGACGGTCAAGGATTGTTAAATCTATGAAGGTCCTGCTGGGGTTTTCGGTGGTTTGCATGGGAGCTGTTTGTTTTGGAGATGGAGTGGGAGAATCAGAAATAATGATTGGACTGTTTGGGGTTTTGGGAGTATTTGGTGGTGTGGTTTCAGGCGAGGATGGCAGCTGGGCCATTGTGACTGTTGTTCCACATGGCAGCTGGATTGCCAGAGGTGATGGTTGAGGTGATTGAGGTGAATGAGGTTCAGAAGGTGGAGGAGTTGGAGTTTCAGAGTGATGAAACTCAGGTTGAGGTGATGGTGGATGAATTTCTGGTTGAGGAGAGGGAGACAGAATTGCTGGTTGTGGAGAAGTTGTTGGAATTTCTGGTTGTTCAGGGATAAGTGGTTCTTCTGGAATGAATGAGAGAGGTTGTTCTGGTTGTGGAGAAGGGACAATTTGTGGTTCAGAGTTTGGATTAATGGAGGGGTGATCAGAAGTGTGTTGATCAATGTCAGACAACACTTTGTCAATTGCTGATGTTGTTGATATTGTTGGTTTGGGGTGTTTGGTTCGGGGTCTTCTGAGTTGTAATGCCTCAGAAGGGTCATCTTCTGGTTCAGTTTCATCTATTGTTGGAATGTGGATTGAGATTCTATGAGAGGTTGGAGGTGGGATTGATGCTGGAATAGTAGAAGAATTTAAAGCAGAAGCAGCAGATAAATTACCTCTTTTCTTGGGTGTCTGCTGGGATGATCCTTCTGAAGGTTCCTTCCTTTTCTTCGTCTTCTTCAGTGTCACTTCTGGTTGAGGTTGGTGCAGATCTTTGATATTCAGATTGGGATATGTACCATCAGCTTTGCACGCGTCCAGATATCTGAGAACTACCACTGGCTTGGATTCTATCTCAGAAAATAAAGGAAAGTCACTCAGTGGGACTCTTCTGCTGGTGATATCAGCAATAGGAGTAGCGCTGGGTTCCTTTTTGATATTCTCTATCAACTTCATTTTCTTCAAGTTCTTTGCGTTCAAAGGCTTCTCAACCGTTGGTTCAATGGTGCTTAACTCTTGAGCTTCTATCAGATGCTCTATCAGCCTATTCTCAGTTAGAATATCTGATATCAACCTTCCAAAGGGTATCCAATCCCTCTTTGTTCTTTCTTCTTCCCTGATTTCCTTCACGCTTGTTCTGAGGTGATTAAACAGAAGATGAGCTAAGTTGATTTTTACCTTCTGATTGATAAAGTAGATCAGAAACTGCTGATCTACATTTATGTAATCAGGGGAACTAGTTGGCTTCCTATGGTTAAAACACCCCAGAATTATCTTCGCCCAAACTCTGTGGTGATCCT